TTTTTAATAATGATCTGGCAATTTCTGAATTCAAAGCCATACAGAGTTTTAAGTCATTTTAATTTACTTAATTTGGAATAATGAAGTGCAAAATTTGAAATAAATTGGTTGAATAGTTTTTGAAAAATAGTTTAAAAAATTGGCTTCTTGAAATTTTATTACTCAGAAACTTTTCGATCCATTTCGCTCAAATGTTTCACTTTCATTTTAATTTGCGCAGTAAAAAAATGATGCAAATGTTTACATTGGTTCTAAATCAAAATTCTTTAGTATTAACAAAGAAGAATTATCAGAATAATTGATTTCTAAAGGCAATTACATGCCCTTCAAAATGTTACTTTGAAACAATGTTGCCCTCGCATTTGATTTGACAATAAATTTTAAACTTTTAATAGAATTTCTTTATTTTATTTTATGAGCGTCTTTGAACTGTCAACCCAATTTAGGGTTTATGGCTACCAATGCTCAACTCCGTAGCCTTGTACATTTGAACCCAATCCAGAAGGTAAGGGAATTCCAGGATCAAGTATTGGGAGAAATTTGCACTTGTGGAGAACTTTTTGATGGAACTAACCCGCATTTGCGTTACATCTAGAGGAAAGCCACGAAAACCTGTCACGGTTAGCCTCATGGAAAGGGAACTGTAACCCATGATTCGTCTACCACTGACGATATTTTACGACAGCACTGTGGTTGGTGTGAGCCGGGTGCGGATTCCGAATCGACCAGCCCTCACTGGGATTTGAACCCGGTTCACCTCATTGGAAAGCGAGCACCCTATCCCCCAAGCCGGCTCTGATGAAATTATTGGAACTGAAATAATTGTATGATAATTATGGAATGATACTTTTCGTTTACCGCCTTAATTGGAAATGCGTGAGTTGAAAAATTGGCTGAAAAAGCAATATTATATCTATTATATTATTATAATATTATATATAATTCTTATATCGACTTTTTTTATTTAAGGTATAAATCAGAAGTTTTAGAAATTATTAACCAAGAAATATTTGATATTATTAGAAAAAAAGTATTAAGCACAAATAAAAAAAAAATCAAAGCTCTATTATTGACAAAGACGCATCATTATCTGAACAATTAATTTCTATCGGCAATTGCATTCCCCTAAAAATTTGACTTTAAAACGATGTTGCCCTCGCATTTGATTTTACAAAACATTTTAAATTTTTATCTTACTCATATTCTTAGGTACAGCCTCGGTTTTAAAAAGTTTTTTAGAGAAAAAAAAAACAAGAGTTGATTGAAAAAATAATAGGAAAACCTATGTTTCATAAATACTAATTTGCATAATTATATTTGATTACGTTTAAGTTTCTACCAAATTTATTAGATTTTTAAAAAGAAATCTTTTAGCTGCGTTCGTTTACGCCAATCAGTATTCAAACACGTGGGGAGCTTAATCTGTATTTCTGTTTAAATATTTGCATGCCTGGTTGATATGTAAGGGTAAAAAATAAATGCCCGATCTGAATTTTCGCATATTCCGGGTATGCAGGGCGATGTAATTTTCGAACACTAACATGTCACATTACAGTACTGTATTGCATTTTAAATTACAATCCTTAATTTATACTTGATAAAAAGAAAGGCGAAAAAGCATGCACATTAAAATTTCAAATTTATGTAAAGTTGTAAAATACAAAATTAATCTTTGATGATGGCCTCAGATAAAGGCCTTTAATACTTGAAAAAAAAAACTTAAGTGCAGAGAATGACGTGCTTGAGTTAAACGGGCCATGGCCTTTTACTTAAAAAACAAGAATGTAGTGAATTCCTAGAAATGACCCCACCCACCTATAATGAATTAAAATTAAAGAATCATTACTGAGGAAGGCGGGCTGAAAACATTAAAACTTATTTAATTGCACGAGAGAACTGAAAGGAGTTTAAAGAGATTTATAAGAAATAACTCCAAGTTCAGACATGTTTTTGTTTGTTTTGTTCACCTGTCCCCTTCAACTGCGATTCCATTGACTTCTGTAGCGTTTTTATTTCTTCCTTGATTAAATACTAATTTACAACTCAAAATAGGCAAATTATTTTACTAAATGTTTGACAAGAACTCTAAAATATCTGTATAAAGGGTATAGCCTACATAATGAAGTATATTCAAATTAGGTATTTTAATAATTAATTGGGTTTTTTAAGTATATTTGCGAATTTTCCTATTCGTATTTAATATGCGTATTACACTACATTCTTCTTACAATATCTGCTGAATGGCATTTGATATTTGACGCCAAATGCTTGAAACGCAACAATGGTAAAAGGAATCGCATTTCTGCTAAGAGGAAGGCAATCCTCCTTTAAGGTTATTAATGTTGACAGATAATAATTCATTGAAATTTCATCTGTCAATTCAGTATAATATTTATAATAACAAAATATGTAATTCTCATAACTTCAAAACCGTTTTTGCTAGCATCTCAAAATTCAGATAGTGAATGAAAGGTACAATTTTAGACCCAGATTCCTGAAATCGTTAAAAAAATTAAATTAAATCGTTCGGGACAAACGTTTAAAAATTGGAATATTATCAATGGTTTAGAGCTAACCATTGATATCATTTAAGCTGCAGACGATTCTGTTTTACCAAATATTTTAATGATAACACCAGTGAAATTTTATAGCTTATAGCTGTCATTAATTGAAAAAAAGAGAATTTATTACACTTTCTTTAATTTTTAATTTTTCCTCTAACATTCGTTGCGTCAGAAAAACTCAATGACCAACGTGATAATGGTGAACTACATCGCCAAAATAATACTCCTATAATTCTATAGTTTGAAATCATTCGTTTATTTTGTTTATAATTATGCTTTATAAACGAGTTTCTGTAAAATTAAGTAATTTAAATCAACGGTAATTGAAATAAAAAGAGTTATATACTGATAAGCAGCATTAATTGAGAAATGATGGTTATTCGCTTAGGTGAAGCGTGAAAACTCGCCAAGGATGTTTGAATAATTTTGATAATAGGTACCAATTGAAATAAAAAAAATAGTAAGTTACGTATTAAAAAGCGATATTAATGGAGAAATGATACTAAATAATTTAGGAGATACGTAGATAATCTCTAGACTATCATTAACGCTCAATTGTGGAAACATTGTGGTAATATTTTGCAATTGAAACAAAAGCAAAAAATAAGCTGGACACTAAAAATCAAAATTAATGGAGAATGGTACTAATTCATTTCGTTAAGGGAAAAAAGCAAAAACTCGCCATATTATTTTTAACGCCAATGATGCTTCTTTGAGCTGCGGTGACTTAGGGAATAGAGCGCTCATACCGCAATAAAGTGAACCGGGTTCAAATTCCAGCAATGGCTTGTCGATACGAATTCTGTATCCTGCTCGCACCGACCACAATGTTAGCGTGAAATATCCTCAGTGGTAGATGGATCATAGGTTAGTCCCCTTGCCATCTGGCTAACCATGGAAGGTTTTTGTAGTTTCCCTCTCCATGTAACGCAAATGCGAATAATTCCACCAAAGAGTATTCCACGAAAGCATTTTTCCTATAATACCTAATCCAGACGTTCAATTGTCTTCTGAATCTGGCTAAAAATTACAATGTTACGGCATTGAGCATTGGTAGTCCAAAATTGGGTTGGCTTGGAATTTATATCGTCCCTAAATTGGAACGACGATTTAAAAAAAAATGTGCTTCTTTATTTTTAGAAATGGTTCTAATTGAAATGAAAAAAAACTGAACTATGTACAAAAGTGCAAAATTAATGGAGAAAAAGAACTAACCCGTTTAAGAGAAAGACAAAAAAATTCGTTATGTTATTATTGACGCCAATGATGCTTAATTAATTTTGGTGACATGTACTACTGGTGTATTGGTAATTGGTACAGTTTTAATCGATACCAATTATACTATTGTAGGTACAATTAGTATATTTGGTTCAGATTTAAACTGCAATACTGTGCAGTTTTAATATAGATACAAAGAAAACAGTTTTTTACTGGCTCTTAAAAGGAATAAGTACCAGAGAAAATCGATCGATTGTGTTCAGTTATAACTATATGGTCTTCGAGAGTCTTAGCAAATGATTTGGAATTAAATTTAATCTATATTTTGAAGACAGAAATTACTAAGAACTTGCTTTGTTTAATTTAGTAACATAAAATCGCAGACGAGCACAAAATATAATAGTAAATAAATTTTTTAAAATTATTTTAGCTTTGTTAGTTGTCCATGATTTCCTAGTGCTTTTCAGTGCTGATTTATATTGTTTACTTTTTTACCCCGCCCCGTACGAAGAACAGATATTCAGCTAACGTTAATCATATGAACACCTAAATTTGTTACAGCTACCAAAAGTTAAATAAAACTAGAAGTATGAGCAGTATAGAAAGAATATCAGTCGTATTTTGATGATACTCAATTAAAACTGGCTGTTGTGAGCAGACTCTCAATCGCAAAGGGATATTGGCCTTTTTTAAATCAATTTATTTAATCCTTTGTGGTCTAATGTTTATTATCAGCCACTACAGCCAAGAATCATATTGATCCTATAGCATTAAACAGTGCTGTTTACTTAAAACAATAGGTTTTGGAAACTTATAAAACTCAAAACAATATTTCACAAATTATATTTAAATGTGTGGCGTAACTACCACTATAAATATTGAATAACAAATCATTAGTATATGAGACATGTTAACTTGATTCTGTCTTGAGGTAAAGGTTGACATACTCGTTAATTACATATCATTTCAAATGTAATAGCTCCATAGAAATCTCTCTCGACAATAGTGACGTTTGTAGAATTAAAGCAAAAATTTATGCGTTTCTAATTATTGAAGTAGTAGATTAAAACTGTAAAGTTACTTTTTACTCTCGGTATTTGGAAATTGTTTTATTTAGGAGTTTGCATAAGTTATTAAAACAAGTTATTTTCAACTTGCAGAACACATGACACAATTAAATACAATTAAATATTAACGTTATTTTTTTTCATATTTCAGGTGGGTACAGACATACCTCATCCAGGTATCGATTCAACCCCAGATGAAAGCAAATTCAGGTACCATAAATACTACCAATGGGTTTGCTTCATGCTATTCTTCCAAGCTACTTTATTTTATATTCCAAGATGGCTGTGGCGCATGTGGGAAGGAGGAAAGATACAGGCACTCATGATGGACCTGGACATTGGACTCCTGGGGGAAGCCGAAAAGAAAGCAAAGAAAAAACTCTTGGTCGATTACTTGATGTGCAGCTGGAAGACACATGACTGGTACGCTGGACGGTACCTCATATGTGAAATCCTCTGCTTCATCAACGTGGTTGGACAAATGTTCTTGCTCAACAAGTTCTTTGACGGTGAATTCTGGGAATACGGTCTTGAAGTGATCCACTTCGCAAGTATGGATCCGGAGGAGAGAATGGATCCAATGATAAGGATTTTTCCACGTGTGACAAAATGTCGCTTCATGAAGTATGGTCCATCCGGGAACATTGAAAAATACGATGCCCTGTGTGTCATGCCTCTGAACATCATCAATGAAAAGATATACATCTTCCTCTGGTTCTGGTTCGTGGTACTAGCTATTTTGTCAGGATTTGTTCTGATATTTCACATGGTTCTATTTGCCTGTCCACCAGTTCGGGTATATGTATTGAGCATGAGGTTCAGGTTTGCACACATGGAGAACTTGCACATGCTTGTAAGGAAAGGATCGTTCGGTGATTGGTTCCTTATTTACATGTTGGGTCAAAACGTAGACTCTATGATATTTAAAGAGATTGTTGTAGAAGTAGCTCATAAAGTTACTAGTGAACCGAAAGAATCTTTATGACCAATGAAAACAAAACTAGAACAGTGCCGTCATAGAACTTCAACCAAAATTTTCAAGCACAATATAATGTTTAATGTTATTTTTGTGAAATTGTGTTTGAAATTTGTTCACTGCCATATCACATTTAAATATATCACTTCTTTTCTAAAGTTGACTTTCTATAATTAAAAATGTACTTTTAGAATGTTCTGTGTTCTTTTTCTCATTATTCATATTAAAATTAAAATAATTGAAATTGGACATAGTGTTAAACTAACTCAGCTTCAGAAACGGGGTGAGGTAATGTTCACATTACATGTAGGGGGACAAGGGATGATCAAATCATCTTTTTGAAACTCTGACTGGAATGATTTGAAATTATTAATGTAATTTCTAATTGTGAATTTTGGCTAGAGAAAAAGCACATTTTACACATTAAATTATCTGAATTAGAAATACGTGTTTATCGAAAATAATAAATTTTCCACCAATTCAATTAAAAACAACTCAACTACTTTTTTCACGTAGATTTTTTTAATATAAAGTTCATAAACACGTGGTTTGACTAGAGCCCCTGAATTAGTTTTATTGGCTTTGACAAGCTTTTGTTAAATTTAATTTTTGATGCCGCTTTGTTTATTTATATCTTGTAAACCATTGGCTTGATTATGATAACCAAGCTTTATCATTAGAAATAAATGATTATTAAAAATATTTAATAAAGATGTTAAAGTCAGAGGCTGAACTACATCCTTGAGTCGAATAAATCAATCAATTGTCGTAATTTTATATCTGTAATAGGCAACTATCTGTTTGCACTATTTCTATTGAACATATGGTAGTCTTATCCTAATAGAAACGTTTTCTTATTGGTTGTTATCTAACTGATTGATAACTGATCAACAGGAAAGTGAATTAACGTCAGCTTAGGTCAGTCTCTATAAACTTTGAGTAAAGCTTTTTTCATTTCATTAAAGTCTTGAAACTTTAACCACTGCTGTATGTTACTATCATTTGTAAATAATTAAAACCAATCACTAATAACAACCTTAAAAATTTTCTTTTGAAGGTATCGTTATTTGTGCTTCAGGCGTGTTTCAGATCGCAGACTAGTTAAGAGCTTTAGATTTACATCGGCAATATACATACATAGAGTGAATTTTCTGCATATTAAATACATTGAAATTAAATGAGAAATAATTTAGAAGTTCGTGTGTTTCAGGCTAAACTCTGTTAAGAATAAAGGGTTATGCCAAAAATGTAAGCATAAATAAAAAAATACCTGTGCAAAAGTGAGAAAGAAGATAAACAAAGCAATGCATAAAATTATTTATAATAAAACCCTAGATAATAGTAAAAAGAGGTAATACAAAGAAGAAAAAAACTTGCATATCAGGTAAATAAATTTATAAATATCAACCTAAAAATTAGTGCTGAAAAAAAAATAGTTTCGTAACATGAAATAAAGAACAAAATATAATTAGTTGAAAGATGTTATAGGATTAGGATAGTTCTTAGGCTTGTTAGGATAGTTCTTAGAAATAAAAAAACCCAGGCATTTACTACATTTTAAAATAAAAAGTTTTATTGCTCATTACATGTGTTTTCTAAAAATGGAATAGGTTTGTTCGTGAAAACCCTGTCCTCGGATCAGAAATTTTTTAAGGTGCCCATTTCTTACTATGACCAATTTAACATATGTGGGCACTTTGAATGACAATATTTATTTTCTGAAAATAGTTCTGCTTTTTATATTCAAAGATAATAATTATGGAAGCAGAAAAAAAATGAACTGGCTGCCTTTAGACCTGTGGATCGAATGCTCAAAATTTTCACAAAGAATGTTTCGCATCACTCTATAAGGGACACATCTAATGTATATTAAAATAAACATATTTAAGGCAAACGATATGAAATAAAGTTTCTAATCATGCATGTTGCGCGTAAAAGTACTTTAAAAAGAACAAACTCGCACTAGCTTTCCGTTACATAGGCAATATACTCCAGAATTCTTTTGACAAAATTCTTATTAAATCAAATTATCTAAATTTTGTTCATATTCTGTAGTCGCTTGGCTAATTTTTATAAATTAATAGATTAATATAGATCTATTTTCATAAATACGCTTATAACTCACAGATTTAAAATTAATTATTTCAAAATAAAGAATCGAAGTGGAAACGATTGTTTGTCATGTTTGTTTAAAAACATAAAATAATGATGATTTTAGTTTTAAAATAATATTTTTTGATTTATAGTCTTTCAAGAAGTATAAATCATTATAAATTCTGGAATGTAAATTCTAGGATTATAAATTCAAGGAGTATAAATTCTGGTCCTCGATTTCCTTAGGGTCAACGGTTTGATGGACCTTGTCTGACTTTGTCAGGTATTTGGAGGATAATCCACAAGAACAACAAAAAGTTATGATGATTATTCATGCTTCATAATTAGTCACTAGCAGTTGATAAAAAATATCTTACTTTTTTTAGGAATTTTACTTTTACAAAAAAAAAAAAAAATTTTTAAGTCCAAACCACCTTTTTCGCCCAAACCGAACTTGTATAAATGGCTTTGGCCAACCGTCTATTTTGGTACTAAACTACATAAGTCCGAGAGATGAGGACAACGTAAAATGTTTCAACTGTTCCTCATATAAAAGGATGAGTAAATTAGGAAGCAATAAATTTTATTAGTTCACATAAGCATGCATTATTATTTATATAATCATTCGACAGAAATAGGAAGAGTTTTTAAAATAGTTTGTTTATTGAACTTTTTGATTTTACTTATTGTTAAAAAGTTCATTTTAAGTTGTTTTCAATTGGAATTGATGGTATGTCAGTTTTTGTTAGCTAAAACTTCAAATTGTTTGAAAGTTTAATCGAAAACTAAAATGTCTACCTCAATTTAATAAATTAAGTTTTGAAATATTTTTTGAATTTGGCTGTGCTTTAAAAATAGCAATGTTCAAAAAGTAATTTGGAATTTTGTACTTTGAGTAATAGTTTGTTGTAATTATAACTTATAATAAATTAGGGGATAAATGTTAAAAACTGAAAATTTGCAGAGGCTGAAAGGATGTTTTTTTTTATTAAAGTTATCAGAATTCAATAACTTTATGTTGTAAATTAGGTTGATTAGTATATAAAAGACAGTATTATTTTTTTAGAGGTTGGATTATTATATCCTAGCAGTTAGACGAACTATTCTATTTAATAGCATGCTCTCAAATGGCGAAACTGGGAAAATGTTATTTGATAGCTACTTGTAAACTTCTCTCGTGTTTTGATAGGGTATTTTTCTTCAATATTTAAGGACGTAGTACAATTTCCGCTTCTCTATTTTATTTTTGATTAATTAAGTCTTATTTATGTTGGTTTTAGGTACCACTATAGATAAAATATTAAAGAAAAGCAGGAAAAAATGATATTCTTATAGCAGTGTGAGCAATACTAAAAGAATTAACGAATTACCTTAATTGTCATTTCGTTTCCCCTTTGCTTATAATGGAGTTTATGCTTATATTTGCTTATATATATATATATATATATATATAAATTCACTAGGTAAATTCCTCTGAAACAAGATACAAGATACCAAGATACTTATAAAACTGCTGGGGTGTTAACTATTTCCAGTTTTTTTTTGACATTATAGCATTTTTTGAGGCATAAAGCATTAAAAAAGAATACCATTTTGAAAATATTGCAAAGGCATGAAACGTAGCATACANAGGATATATATATATATATATACGGAGACAAAACTTCCGGGTTGTCATTTACAGTTTAATGTAACAATAAAATATATGAGAACTTTACTTTTAAAAAGATGTGAAAGAAATTACAAACACATAAAGTAAATTACTAACAGAAACGAGTAAGAAGTAACAGATCGTGAAAATTTTACCAGCAATAAGTATAGAAGTATTAAACAAAAAGAGTTAACGTTAAGTGCGCTTAGTAGTTCAAAGTAGCAAACTGTAATTAAAAATTACGAGAACGAAAAATAAAAGTATTTATTTATTTATTTGTTATTAAGCAGTTATACTTATCCTACTAAACTAAAAGAAGTGTCATCTAGCTTGCTGCGCGTTAAGTTCAAGAAGCATAATTACAATAGCAATAAAAAGCATGATAGTGTCATGCTTCATGTATACATATTTTATTAGTGCATAGAAAGGTAAATCATGCGATTTCCATGCCAGCAGAAGAGATACTGTTTTGTGCCTCAAAAAGTTTCATGCACAGTCCCTCCCCCCTAAAAAATGGACTACTTCGAAAGACTTGTGATCAAATGATCAGAACTTCACGTTCTAGGATTCAATGTTTCAAGGAAGTGACCTCAACTATGTTGATTGATTAGTGCAGACAATATTTTAAGTTACGAAATCCGATACAAAAAATCTATTTTCTCTAAAAAAATATACCCTTTTTATGACGGATTTAGATTTTTGAACCCCAAAACATAGGGGTTAGCTACAATTTGTAAAATATGGCCCCAAAAGAAGGGTCAGGAGAGCAGACCAAAGTTTGGACCCCTTAATGTCAATTTCACTTTTTGCGTATTTAGCCAAATTTTGAGAACATTTTTAGCAAATTAAAAAGTTTTTTGTACGCAATTTGGATTTAATTCATTTATCCTAAGACAACTTTTCGTAAAAAATTAATATTTTTTATTATTTTATTTAATAATAGTAAAAAAGAATTTGCATATTAACTTTTGACATCATTTTAAAGAGTGTCATTTTGCATGGCAAAATACAAAATTTGCGCGACATTGGTAGAATAGTTTCTGAGAAATCCAATTTCAAAAAAGTCGTATTTTCATAGAGTGCAAAAAATTTTCAATTTACTTAAGACTTTCTCAGGATAGCACGCAAAAATTAATATAAAATTAAGGTTCCAAACTTTGATCCGCTTTCCTTATCAAACTATTGGGACCAAATTTCCCAAATTACGGCTATTTCCTATATTTTAGGGTTAGAAATCCTAATCCGTCAAAAAAAGGGTATGTTTATTCAGAGAAAGTACGTTTTTGTGTCTAATTTCTTAACTTAAAATATAGTCTGCACTAATTATTTACCATATTTAAAATTACCATCTCGAATTATTAAGATAGAGTTCTAGAACGTGAAGATCGAATAATTAAATATATAATAATATCTATAAAAATATAAAAAAAACATATAATATATAAAAAACATTTTTTGTAACCCTTTTAAAAATGTGGGAGATAAAAGCAGTTAATTGAAAAAATTATGTTATCCCCCCTTTTTTGCTGTAATTTTGACAACAACAAAAAATTATTTCATTTATTTTGTAAATATTTTTGTATTAATATACATGAAAGAATGGTTCCAAATAATTCCTCTAAAGATACTATTTACACCGAAGAGCCATTACATTATGACCACCCTGCTAATAACATGTAGGACCACCTTTAGCCCTCAAAACTGCTAGCATCCGCCGTGTCATTGATTCCACAAGGTGCTGATAGGTAGTCTGAGGTATCTGGTACCAAGCGCTCACCAACTGGTCCTGCAATTTCCTCACATTGCGAGGGGGTAGCGTGGCAGCACGAATTTGGTTTTCCAAGTAGAACCACAAATGCTCTATTGGATTAAAGTCAGGTGAATTTGGGGGCCAAGACATGACTTGAAAGTCACTGGAATGTTCCTCGACGATTCGACCCTTATGACATGATGCATTGTCCTGTTGGTAAACACCATCCCCCGCAGTAAAAACTGTTGCTATGAATGGGTGAACCTGGTCTGCAACTGTGTTCAAGTAGCTTAGACACGTCAGGGATTGTTTTATGAGGATTATGGGTGGTAATGTGCCCCATGAAAGCATTGTTCCTGGGCGAGGGCGAGAAACCATGAAAAATTGGGCGAGCCCATTGTTATAAAGGGAGGGTGGTCATAATGTAATAGCTCTTCGGTGTATATTTGTTGTCCAATCAAACTTTTGAATTCAGAAGAAAGTGACATGTCTGTCTTAAAGGACTTTTTAATTCCTGTAAAAATTTCTTTTACAAATTTTAAAATCAAATGATAAATTTTTTTAATTTTCTTTGAATCTTAAAAAACTTCTAGAAACAGAGTTCTAAAACAACTTCTATGTCAACAATGAAAAATATTCGAGGTGAAAAGAACTAAGGTGCTCACGTTAGCTTATATCCATTCTCTTAACGTTCCAATCATTACAGCTTTAAGACCAAGTGTGTCCAGTAGTGTCTAAGTATAGTACAATGGCTATTTGCTTTTGCATGAGAGCATTTATTACGGCTCCTGGTGGATAGCTACAGAGTTATTATAAGTTTTTTTTTATCCTGAAAACGGTTTGTGTATCTAATTTATGCTTACTGTGCATTCACCCTATGCCAGCGTGCTTATGCGGTTTTCAGTGGAAAGTTTTTATCTGTTTTACTTGTGTCTTACTAAATTAATCAAATGTAATTTTTTATTTGGCTATTGCAGGAACACATCTTTGTTTTGTACATTGTCCTTTGGAGTTGTGTCCCATTGTTTTACTTCCAATTAAGATTTCTCAAGAAGACAATTTTCCTAACCATCAAGGTTTAGCACAGTAACTAAAATAGGTGCTGTGAAGATTAACGTCTCCTACTTGAAAGAACTAAAATTATTTTTTAAAGATTTTTTTTTTAAAAAAGAAGATTATTCAAGCATCGCTAAATGAAACGCTCTAGAAAGTATCCTTCTTTGTCAAAGTAAAATGAGTAGCATATTCGATACCATTAAAGGCTTAATTCAAAAAGAGAGAGTCAGAATTGATACTGACATTTTTCGATTACATCACACTTATTCTGTCTTCATTATTGTGGTCTTCATAATATTTGTTTGTACGAAACAGTTTGCTGGAGATCCCGTCAAGTGTGTTCATACCGACACTGACATACCAGATAAAGTTTGGAATACTTATTGTTGGATCCATGGAACGTATGTAGTTCCATCGGCATTTCACAAAAAAGTAAGTTTTCAATATAAAGTCCAATATACTTCATTTTTACACTACTGGCCATTAAACTCCATACACCTGGAAGATGGTACTCATGAAATTTGCATTTAAGGTAGTGCTTCTCAAACTTACTTTGTCTACCACCAACTTTAAAAAAATTGTCTTCTACTGCACCCTATAATTTTTAATTTTACCAGCAGGATAGTTATTATTACTTTGACTAAGTTTAATTTAATTATAGCAATCCACAAGAGTCTTTTATTTTTACGAGTTTAAACTTACATTTTAAATTAGACAGTTCTAAAGAGATCAATAAAACACAACTTTATAAAAAAAAGTAGGAAAAATTGTTATTTTAAATTGAAAAAAAAAACATTTTAGTTTTAAAACTTATCTAATAAGATTGATGAATCTGATGATATTTTTAAGCAAGTTTGTTAATATCAAGTTCGGATTTACTTAAAAGCAGCCGTAAGTCACCACGTTCAGTAACATGCAAACAATCTCTTTAGTTAACACTAGTTCTCTTTACTTAGTTCAGTTAACACTAGTTCTCTTTAGTCAGTTTCTTTTCACTTAGTTCTCTTTAGTTTGTTTCTTTTCACTTAGTTCTCTTTAGTTAGTTTCTCTCTTTAGTTAACAGCGTTGCCACAGCACTAAATCCACGTACCCAATAAGTTATAAGCCAAATAATATAAGTTAATAACCCAAATAAGTTGACGAGAATGTTATCAAAAATTGTTGAATGATGGTTCGCAATCCAGGGTACAAATATGGAATTTATTTTTGCAGTTAAAATTCTCAATAGCCCTTTTGAAAATTGATTTTAATTTCCTATTTTGTCATGAGTTCTATAAGTTCTTCTTCCAACTTTAACGTAGCTGCTGTGACCCCATTTGAAAAAGGATCTGACACCCAGCCTGATATTTCCAATTTCAAAATGTCCTGAAATCGTCCTTCGAAATACACTGTGGAGGTTCTCCAAATGTTGACAGTAAAAAAACAAGTCATCGTTGTCTAAAGATGCTCCTGATGAATTGGGAAAATTTTGAAACTCACGTCTGCCGTTATTCTTTTTGTATAAAACGCAATTTAGCTATGAATGCAGCGATGACATTTTTTGTTTTAATCAAGTTCAATTCGTCACCTTGAAGTTGGAGATTAATATCATTAAACAATTCATACAAATCTGTTAAGTACGCAATATTATTCTTCGATGTGATGAGGTTGTTACGCAATTCACTGTCTTTTTTTTTCTATGAACTCTGTCACAGTATCAAACAGATATTTTCAAGCAAGTATCTCTTGATAGCCAACGTACTTCTGTGTGATGCAGCAAACGGTTGAAATCTTCATCATAAGTAACACAAAGCTGATTAAATAATCTGTCATTAAAGGAGCTATTTCGTATTTTTTTCACTGCTTAATGACAAGTTGCAGTGACTGAAATAGCCGTTCACTCAGATTTCTGGTAACCAAAATGCTCCAGATGAATAACTCAATGTATGGCGATTACAAAAAGAATTTAATTTTTAAGTATGCTATGAAGCCTTTGTGAAACCCTGACATAGCCGGAACCCTATTCGTAGCTGCTGACGTAATGTTCTATAAGGGCACTTTTTTTGGCGACGCAAAATTTTTCCAGTGCATTAAATATAGTTTTTCTTTTTGTATCTGTCTCTAAGTTTCTAGCAAATAATAGTTCTCGGCATAATTTATTATCTTTAATAAACCTTACACATGATAACAACAATGCTTCAGTAGATGGTAAAGTAGATTCATCCAACTGAATTGAGAACTGATTAGTCCTCAGATGATTGCACTATGACTCTTCAGTGTTTTCAGCCTTCTCATCAATTTCTCTTTGAGCAGGAATTTTTGGATAATATTTGCCTCTTGTTTATGAAGCACAGTAGTTATTACTTATTTAATTGCTTGTAAAATAGATTCTTCTCCAACAGTGTAGGGCTTCCATGTTTTAGTAATTAACAAAGATCTGTTGTATGAAGCTCGAAATCCGTCATCGTCTTCTTTGGAAGCTGCCGCAAAAAGTTTTGATGCACTTGGCTTAGCTAAATACTTTCTTTCCTGGTCTTGGAAATAGGCTACATTTTTGTACTCCTTATTTGAATGAATTCTATTCAAATGATTTTTGCAGCCTAAAAAGTTGCAATTGCTTCATTCGAAAGTGTTTCTTTTGGCAAAGAAGGCACATAAATGAAGATGGAATCGTGGGATTTTCTATAAATCCGTATTTTATATACTCTGCACTATATTGCCGTCTCTTCTTTTTGGCTTCAGACATTGTTTAGATTTCGCGATTTACACTTTAATTAACGTCAGCGATGGCTTGTTTGTGTGACATTTTTGAACACTATTTCCTTAGTTATCAAGTTAAAAAAAATGCTTCACCGTGAAGCTGTTTGGAAACTACTCAACTTTGGAATTACTAAAACTTTGGGAACGCTGAAGAAACATTCATTTATTAAAAAATTGTATTAATTTTTCCCATTGCGCTTTTCCAATCAAAACAAAATAATTAAATTCGTTAATAATGAAAAAATGCTTCCCTGGTTACCATTTTTAATATTTATAACAGTTCATCTATCTTTTATTTCAACAAAATCCATAATGTGTCTCACTTCATTTTTGCTTATGTATATTCCTCAAGAACAAAATTAAAACTAAATTATATGCAGCTCAGTAGCACAAATTCAATAAAACTTAATATAAGATTATTAATGAAAAAGCGATGAAAAAATTCCATTCCTCTCTTGAAATGTTTTAAAAATAAAACAGTATTTTATTGGTTAACACCCTCACAATTCTTTAATATACTTTATTTTGCATTGTTTTTATGTACTTTATTATTAATAAACTTGGGGTTCCGTCGAAAGAATATTAGGTTAGGGTTCCATGGCCGAAAAATATTGGGAACTGCTCTCTTCAGAATATGGAATTGATGGGTTTAGGACTGAACGTCGTGCTAAATTTTAACTCCCCAACACGACTAACAGTGAAGAAGACAGATATCTTATTTGAATATGCGCAAGGGGTCGCACAACCACATTGTGGTTAGTGAGTATGGAAAGGAAGGATTCGTATGTAAAGCAAGTTTGTGCTCAAAGCAGTTCGACAACAGTTCCAGCGTGGCAACCAAGGCTTCTGATATCCTTTGTATTGCATTTAAGTGTGGGGCACAATAAGTGGTGTGATTACTGACCAACCTGATAATATAAATATGATCACATCATCCTCGCGGATGAATGCTGGATCTGTATGCAGATCCATGATTACACGTCCGTGTTTGGCGGCATCAAAGAGAACACGCGTTGCCAACTCGTATTTACTACATGCTGCTTGTACTATCTTGACCTTCCTTGAAGAATGTCCACTATATAGCTTGGCCAGCACTTTTTTCTAATCTTCATACAATATTTAGTTTATGGTTGCCGAGTGATTGCTTCCCTTTCACTCATCAATTACTACGGTCAAAAAATTATGTGGTAGTTGTGAAGCAAAATGACCCTTCCTTATCAACTGATCAGAGGGCTCGAATGCTACGCATTATTTGTCTGAATCCTTGTCCAGGAATATAAAGGCTTTTATTTCTGCAAGAGGTGTAAAATTTTGGTACTATTTTCTCAGACCCTATTTACATACGAATTTAATCACTTGTTCTTCCACTATAATGTAATCACCTAATAAATACCTTTCGGCTATTTACATTCCTTCCTGGAATAGCAAATTTAACGGTCAATAGTGTCAAATATGTTGTACGAAGGTTAAAAATTTTATCAAAAATTGTAAACTGGTGTTTGAAAGTGGATTCATTTTTTATAACAATATAGTAAAGGTTAAATGTTAATGAAATCTTTCCGACATAGCAAAATAAACAGACGCAAAACTAAGCAGCAGAGAATTATAAAATAAAAGATTTAAAAATTATGTTTTTTCCCCCTAACTTGACCTGAACGGAGGAAATAATTTTAATTTTCGATGAACCGTACGCTATTTAACTCAGGCCTGACAGGTTGGATATGAATAATGTACGGAGCATAGCTTATGATGCACATTTCCATTGTCACCGAGATTCCGCCCTCGTTAAGTCCTTCGAAAATGATGCTCCTTCCCTACACTGTTAAGTCTTATGGAAATAAAACTATTTCTTTTTATTCAATTGAAAAAAGTAGAATTTCCTTTCTAATTGGAAAATAATAGACGCAAAAACAAGGAAAAAAGTGAATATTATTTCGTCACTATTAATTAAATATTAATTAAATAATAAAACACAATTTAAATATTTTTTAAGCTAATGTTCAGAAACTTAATTAAAAAGAGATGATAATTCGGGGTTTGGATCAAATTTCATGAAATTTTAAATCCTTTTTTCTCTAATGTACACTCAAATTCGCAAAAGTATTAAGAGGATGCTATATCATGGGAGAATCATTTCATAGCAAATTCTGTTTCACCTTCGAATGAATTTTAAAATTTAAATTTAGAGAAAAATGAGTACAGGTAAACTTAGAGTTAACCAGAGTTCAATAGACCTTAGAGTTCAATTGCTGAAAAAACATTTTCAAAATATCGAAATGCCAACAAATTATGGTAGGATTACTTCTCCGCGCAAATTCCCATAATTTGTTTGTATTTTGATATTTTGAAAACATGTTTTTCAGCATTTGAAATTTCATGGTTTATTCTAGGTTCACCTGGACTCCCTTTTCTCCTAACTTTCAATTTTAAATTACTTATTCAAGTGAAGGAGAATTTTTCCATAAAGCTTTTCTTTAGACTCCTCTTAAGTAACTTGTTTCAATATTAATATGCATACAATTGTGTTAAATGAAAATAAAGATAGCTTTGAAATAATTCAGGCAATTCCTTCCAATGTGCTCAAATATGAATAAACTCAACTTACACCTTTTTTGTTGCCGAAATTTTTGCACTTGTTATTATTATTATTTTAAAAATAATTCTATATCATAAAATGATAAATTTATTTATTAGGTTGGAGTAGAAGTCCCTGCTCCAGGTGTAGATGCAACTGATGCAATGAAAGAGCCTCATAAAGTCAGATTTCTTTATTATTATCAATGGGTAATCTTTATACTTCTTTTTCAAGCAACGATGTTCTATATACCCAGATGGATATGGGTTTCTTGGGAAGGAGGTACATTAAAAGTTTTGACGATGGATCTTGACATTTCCTTGATTGATGAGTCTAAAAAGGCACAAAATTTACAAATTCTGGCTGATTATTTCCACTCCAGCTGGAACACACACAACTGGTATGCAAGGAGATACCTCTTTTGTGTCCTTTTGTGTGTCATAAATGTAGTTGGACAAGCGTACATGCTTGATACTTTATTAAATGAACATTTTTTTACTTACGGAATGGAATCTATCAACTACTTTCGTTATGGTGCAGAAATGAGTCCGATGATAAGGATATTTCCACGCATGTCAAAGTGCGAGTTTTTGGTTGGCAGTCAGTCTGGCGACATTGACAAAAGTTTCGCCCTTTGTATCATGGGTTTGAACAGCATTTTTGACAAAATATTCTTATTCATATGGTTTTGGTTTCTGCTTGTCTTCATTTTGACAGTCCTTGGAATTTTGTATTATCTCATACTAATTTTGTGCCCGCCTTTTAGAGTATTTGTTTTGTGTTACTTATATGGGTACGATCACAGGAAACACATACGTGTATTAGTTGGAGAAGCTTCTTTTGGTGATTGGTTTCTTTTATATCTGCTTGCAAGGAACATAGATTTTATTGTTTTCAGAAGCCTCTTACGCGTGATAGCTTGTAAGATTAAGGATTCGAAAGATCCCGGCGAAGATCAAGTGCGGGTGGAAGATTCTACACAGTTTCCAAGTGACCCATACAGGCAGTTCTCGAGTAGTAAAGTAAAACGTCTTTCAAGAGTAAGAAAAGCTGATGATGTAACACATTCCGGTCTGGAAGATCAACTTGAAGAAAAACCTGCTTACTCAATACAACTTGAAATTGGTAAATCAATTGATCAGGATCAAACTGAACTTTCGAAGCAGAAGGAAACCGACAGTGAACTCCAAAGTATCTGGGTTAGGCTTTTTAGAGGTGCAATCTCTTGGATAAATAAGAAATATCCGACCCGTAGAAATTTGTAAGGCCATTTAGTTCAGTAGTTCATTTTTTAAATATATTTTTATGTTTATATAAAATTTTTTTAATTGATGTCTTCTCTGTGATAAATGTTAATTAAAGTATTTATTAGCATCACTGTTATTATTCATAAACTATAATACTACAAAATATACATATAATTTACCTGGGAGGATGAGCACCTCCTAAATGGGCGTTATGATGCGCGGGGGTCATGAAATGACCTCTAATAAAACTCATTAATCCCCTCTAGAAAATAATTTTGATTCTTTGATGTTGAACATTTATTGTTTAAATATTTGAAGTTTTTTAACATTCTTTTTTAGATAAAATTATGTAAGACATCATAATATTCATTTCTCCGATAATTAGTAATTAAATTATTATATTATATTCAATATTATTGTTCTACTGCGTCTAAGTTTGGAAAATAATTCTCTAACACTTCATACAAAAAAAGTAAGATTTTCACCAAAGTGTTCACATAAGATATTGTCATCTTTATTTAAGTTATAATTCCCTAACTCTTCTTTCAAAAGAAAATGTTCATACCAAAATATTCAGAAAAGGAATTATCATCCTAGCTTAACCTTTCCATTATCTCGGTTCACATACGTGGACCTTCGCTTCTTAGCTTCAAAAAACAAGCTTTTTCCTTCTCTGAAACATTTGTGGATAGTTAAGCTTTCTGGGGATTCTGCAATAGATGCAGAAGATGTAAGTTATTTGGATAGAAATCCACCTAAACATAAGTGATTTTCATAAGAAGACGCTTAATTCACGTGCTCGAAAATGTAACTAATTTTAAATATTACATATAGTTATTCTGAAATTTTCTTTCCCTTTTGACTCAGTAGTTCTGTGATCTGTAGGAAGCTTTCAAACTTATATTTACTTAATATTTAAAAATAATACAGTCAAGAACATGTGTAACGTGTAAGAACATGCCTTGGTACGTAAGATGAAATTTATTACAGCGTAGTCAAGTGAAATCTCATAGTAGTATAAGTATTCAATTTTTTATCTATTTTGTAATATTTTTTCGTATATTTTCATTAATTGTCTTATATTAAGGTACAAACATATGTCTAATAACTTTAACGTTTTGAGTTTTTTCCCATGATTTTGAAATTTTACACTTAAGAATTAAATTTTTTTTTCTCGTTAATGTTAAATTCCTTACGTTAAATTATTTATTTTGCTTTGTTTGCATAATTAAAATAGTTTTGAAACTGCGAATTCATACAGCAATGTATTATTAAACATTGATATTGTACTTAGTATGGCTTCCCATTGTAAAAGAAAAATGAAAAAAAAATCGTCTTTTTAAAAATTTATTTCTTCCCAAAATAATTAAATAATTGTACTTAAATAGACAATAATATAACATTGCGCTAGTTTGCTCCTACTTAGGTGCACTTAAACATTTTGAAATTTTTTATATTTCATGACCGTCGTTGAACAGACTACCCGATTTTTGAATTTACGACTACTAATGTCACTACGTATCCTTGTAATTTTGAACCCAATCTAGAAGACGAGGGAATTCCTGAATCAAGTATTGTGAGAAATTTGCCTTCGTGGAGAACTTTTTGATGGAGCTAACCCGCATTTGCGTTACATGGAGAGGAAGACCACGAGAACCTCCCACGGATAGCCTGACGGCAAGGGGACTCTAACCCATGGTCCGTCTACCACTGAGGATATTTCACGTCAGCACTGTGGTTGGTGTAAGCCGGATGCGGAATTCGTATCGACTGGGATTCGAACCCGGTTCGCCTCATTGGAAGGCGAACGCTCTATCCCCTGAGTCATCGCGGCTCGCAATTAAACATTTGAAATATTTATATTATTTTACTTAGTTGAAACCTGAATTTGACGTGCGTTGGGTGCATGTTCAAGAGGTCGTGAGTTTGATCCCCGCCTGTCGTAGACTCCCCGTGTAGTAAATGGTGACTGGTACACGTTAAAAATGTCTGGTCACAAAGTCCTCCATGTTCCCATAACAAATCACACCTCTGGAGGTACTGAAGTGGAGATGGGTCGTTCTCTTTTTCAAGTCAAAATTACGATATGTGGATGAATAAATGGATGTATGAATGATTCCGCCCTATAAACAGGTTGTGTGGCAGAAGTCGAATCCTTGGCCATAGATGGAGCCGCTGGAAAACAAGAAAAAATCCACCTCATTTGCCTTAAGGGCATATGACTGCAACAACAACTGGGGTTCATGTGGACTTAAATTATTAGCCCCCAGGCAGTATAGATCGTATTTTGTTTATCTTATTCTAACTTATGGCAGTAAAATAGAAATTCGGAACAGTAAAATATTTTTTTTGCTATGTTCCTTCATACTTAATTAGAGAAGAGGTTATCTGCTATCCCCCAAACACTTTCTTTAGAAAGTTAAAATTTAAGTAAATTGCTCACAAGAGAAAGTATAATTTTAAGTGCAAATTTCCTAACACTTTCTTTTATAATACGCAATTTGCGCCAAAATGTTGCACACGGAATGCCATTTTAGAATGGGTCAATAAATAGGGGATTATTTTTCATATAATCCTTAATAGGTTAACTTAGGAGACAGGGGTAATAAAACCTGACTTAAGATCATTAGTTTATAACCCAACAACAGCGGAATACTGAATGGTAATTTTTAGGAATAATTGTTTAAAGTTAAGCGTACCTTTTCAACTCTCACCTACATTCTTCATTTTTTCTTGCAGAATCAAGCAGGGGGTGGGGTCTCAAACTAATGTATCTTTGTGTTGTGTGCGAGCAACAGACTGAGATATGCTATTAAGATCACTACACTCCGTTCTTTGTTTTTTTCTTCTAATGATCAGATTTCGCGAAGAATGAGTCACAAAAAAGATGAAAAAAATCATCAAGCAGGATGGCAATGTGCCAGTGTCTCAGGTAATATTGAAAAAAGAAAAAAAAAAGCAAGTGACTCAATGTTGAAGACACGCGATAGAATAAGTGTGGTTTTTGTGTCGTTATGCTTGCTAGAGGCTTGATCTCTGCATATTTGCGAGTGGTTTTAAAGTATGCTTAATTTTTTTAGTGTAGAATTTTAGTAAGTCTTTTCCCTTCAGAATTTTTTCGGTCATGAACGAAATGTGTAAGATTTGCACTTACCGGAAAATGATGCAATAACTTGAATAAACAAATTTTTAGCAGGTATAAATTTTGAATAAGACTTAGTCTCTTAGAGATCCTTGTAGAACCTTTATTTTAAGTTAATAAATGCTTCGTTGTCTTAGCTCTTAATGTTAACTTATTAATCTGAATTATAATAAAGTGTTGAAGCATTCCGTTTATGAAATACGTTCTCCACCACTTTTTAGCTTTTTTAGATTTTACTTAACTTATTTTTATTATTCCTTTTTTTTTAATGAATGAGCATATTTTGAATTACATTTACTCTATAACTAACGTTAAAACCAGATCCATATCGTTTTTAATGCGACTCCATAATTTTGAAAATTTGAAACTAACTCAGAAGACAAAGAAACTTATGGAACAGGCATTGATCCTACTTACATTTACTATGTACGTAGAAATCTCCCAAACCTCCCACTGTTAGTTCGACAGCATTAGGACCCTCATCCATCAATCTATTATCCGTCTGTAATTTTGATATTTATTTTTGGAGGGTTTTCTTTATTATCACAATACATATACTTAGTTTTTTCGAAACATTTGCTGCTATCTTTTTTCTTCATTTACGGTTAATCTCACCTTTTACTGTCGTTTTCTTCACAGCTATTCAAGTCTCTTTCAAAGTAACTTTGGAAGTGAAATTATATCTATTTCATAGCCCGAATATGTATTGATTTTTTAAAAAAAAATTGTGTTTTTGGTACTGATAACAGAATTTTATAACTATATAGGGTAGCAAGTTTATCTTTTTAGTAGTCACGAATGTCAAAAGAGGTGAACATTCTCTCCTTGAAGTTGTCTCTATGATATTCAGTAAGCGTGAGCTTCACTAGCTTAATTAAATTAGTGGAAACAATAAACTCTGGCAGAAATCTTAGTAGAAATCTCTATCATCTTCAAGTTGACGGAAGAAAAGCGATAAAATAAAATATTCGCAAAAACTTTATAAGCAACATGCTTATTACTCTACAACTCTCACAGTTTTAATGCACTTCCATTTCTTTATAGGACATAATACACTAAATTTTCATTCAGAAGGCGTGATCTCTCTTTTACAGTTCGAGAGTACAATTTCCCAAATAAGGTTCGTCAAATCTTTTCTACTATTGACTTTTATTCTCAACCGTGTTTCGTGTTTTTAACGTATGAGGTAGTATTTGAAGAGGATGTTTCTATTTCCGGTAGAAGATTCGCTTGCATTGATTTAAGTTTTTTTCCGTTTACATCATCTTTTGACTTACTTTTTTAAATAATTGTTTGTTTTTGGTGGCGAAAAACTAGTTTGCAAGTGGTCGAATAAGTTGTTCTGCTTTAGGATGCACTATGTGTCGGAGACTAATTTGTTATCGTAAATTAAAATGTAATATGTATATATGTCATGATATTTAGTTATAATTAAATTTAAATCAAGAGATATTAGTAGTTGATCTGGAATTCAGAAATATTGTCGAAGGTAAATTAAGAAGGAAAGAAAAATATTCTTTCTTAACAGTAACCTTGATCAGAGATGGAGAAGTTTCATTCAGACGGGACAGCATTACTTAATGAAAGCCAGACTCAAAACTAAAAAAAGAGCGTTTAGAGGAAGAACAGAAGGCTAACTTGTTGATATTCAGACTCAATACTTTCTCACAATGAAGCCAGCCAAAACTTTAACTCGAGAATGATTGGTAGAGCAGTTTAAGTCCATTATTCTTTTATTTTTCCGATCCTTTTAAAACAAACATGTTACTGCTTTTGGAAAACTTTAAAGTATTTTTTCTCAGTTATTACATTTGTCTCTCAACGCCATAGATTATCTACATTATGAAATCTTTCTTTTGTTAAGATGAGTTTTAAA